TTATTATAATCCTCCTCATATATATATATATATATATATATATATATATACACTAATTTTTCATTAAATTTGAATCGAAAATTTACTCTTAACCCTTTCTATAAAAGACAAAATGTCCAAGGCGCAGGTTCTATACGTTCCAATCCTTAATAATTTATCATAATTCAATAATCAAATTGTATAAGCAAGAATTTACACCATACAATTTAAGCTTGAGTAATATATGTTCAACGTATTTGTTTGTACACTCGTATAAATTTTTCTTCTCATTTTTATTGCCTTTCTGTTAGTTAACACGAGTTTGCATGTTTTTCCCAATAGAATGGTAGTCAATCTTTCGTTCCTTACATAATACAAGTACTCTATTTTTATTCTGGATAAAAAAATCATACATATAAGACGTATTAAATAAGAACATTTTATGTGTGACAATGAGATAAATAAATATTAACCATTAATTTTTATTATTTATAGTCAAAATTAAAATATAAAAGTTGAGAACTTTTTCATTTACCCACTTTATAAAACTTAATTTTAATCATCTATTTATTTGTTTGTGTGATATCGATTTATCTATTCAACTATTTCGTGACGAATTTACTTTAAGCCAACCATCTTAATATTAATTTGAGTAGAGATACAAATAAGTCTCACATCGATAAAATAAGAGGAAAAATAATAACTTATAAAACACACACATACACCAATGTTAGAGAGACCTTTTGGGTAATGGCCAAGAGCAAAACCGTGAAGGCGTAGGCCCAAAACGAAAAATATCTCATCATCATGGAGTGCTTGTGTAATAGCCTTATAAACATAATTCTTATAAAATATTCTCTCTTGTTTGAGGGGAGGATTGTTGAGATACAAATAAGTCCCACATTTATAAAATAAGAGGAAAAATAATAACTTATAAAGCACACACATACTCCAATGTTAGAGAGACCTTTTGGGTGATGACCAAAAATAAAATCGTGAGGGCTTAGACCCAAAACAGACAATATTTCATCATTATGGAGTATGCTTGTGTAATAACTTTATAAAAATAACTCTTATAAAATATCTCATCAGACAAATACCACAAATAAAATAACCCCATCAATCTCAATCTGACTCACCAATAATTTACATTTTTCTGATTTTATGAGCTTAACTCGTGAAATTGTAAAATGATATATTTATTATTTAGAACATCAATATAAGTAAACTAAAAATAATAATTTATATCATGATAAACAGTTTTATAAAAATATAGAATAAATAAATTAAATAATAAAAACTGATCTAATAAGATTAAAAGATATAACCCTATTGTCATAAAATGTTAGGCTAAATGCCTAATTTGGTGATTCATAATAATTAAAAATTTTAATTTGGTCCCACTTTATTTTTTTATTTCAATTTAGTTCCTAATAATTTAAAAACACATCAATGTGGGACTTCCGTCCAAATTTCACAAACGGTGTTAAATGTGAACGACGTGGATGCCACGTAGATGCATAGGTGGTAAGGTCCCATGCGTATGTTGTTGTCGTCCTCCTCCTCCTTCTTTAATGCATCTGGAACGACCCATTCTGAAATCAGATCGACCCGTCCTGCTTGCACTTGTCGTGTGTGAATTTTGCATCTGGAACGGCCGTTCCAGATGCAAAATTAACACACGACAAGTGCAAGCAGGACGGGTCGTTCTGATTTCAGAATGGGTCGTTCCAGAATGCCAACAACATACGTATGGAACCATTAAAGAAGCATTGACTAATGTTTAAATTTAAGTGTTACATTTCAACAAAATGTTCAATAAAATGGTTCAAAGATTGAAAACAAAAATTCATAACATAACATATATTCAAAGACTGAAATATGGTTCAGAGACTGAAAACAAAAATTTATAACATAACATATACTAAGAAAGTTCAAAGAAATTACTGAGGAGGAAAATCATCTAGATAATGCTGAAGGTGTCAATTCCATCTCTTGCAATCGACGATTCATACACTGAATGGCTGACAGGATATCAACATTATCTACGTGTACACAGGTCGTTCCAGATGTAAAATAAACACACGACGAGTGCAAGTAGAACGGGCGTTCTGATTTCAAAACAGGCCGTTCCAGATGCATTAAAGAAAGAGGAGGAGGAGGACAACAACATACGTATAAGACTTTGCCACCTATGCATCGACGTGGCATCCACGTCCCCACATTTAACACCGTTTGTGGAATTTGGACGGAAGTCCCACATTAATGTGTTTTTAAATTATTGAGGACTAAATTGAAATCAAAAAATAAAGTAGGACCAAATTGAAAATTTTAATTATTATAAGGGACCAAATTAGGCATTTAGCCTATATTTTTATAAACTTTGCAATTTTAAAAATATATTTAAGCATGTTTGTCAAAACTTTTGCTTGGACAATATGATGTGGTGATTTGTATGCTTTGCAGACCAGAAAACCGCATTAGCACCATCGGCAGTGTTGTCGACATTACTGCTTCAATTTACAGATTTATAAAATATAGGAAACCACACTTTAACATCCGGGGTGGTGGCGCAGTTGGCTAGCGCGTAGGTCTCATAGCTTCTGAGTTATCCTGAGGTCGAGAGTTCGAGCCTCTCTCACCCCAACAATTTTTTAATTTTCTTTTTCTTTTTATACGGACAGGAGAAAAGAAAAGATTATTATATTCATGCCATATCCATGGTTCAACACAAACATAGATTTCGAAAAAAATGTAGTCATAGGATACATACCAAATGATATGATTGAATATCTAAGTTTTTTTCTGTAAGAATACAAGACCAAGTTTCTTAGTTATGAAAGAAAGAGTTCCAGCATTATAGTAAGTTCACTATTTTTACCACTAAATTCCTAGTTGGATTCCACTCTCAGTTTGAGAGAGAAATTTTGCAAAACCATTTCTACTCTTCTCAGAACTGTCATGCTTGAGCAAGTTGGTTGATGAGGGTGGTGAGCTTTCATCGTTTTTGTTTAAGGGTGGACCCGACCATGAAGTACCGGAATCTCTTCTAGGTGAGTGCGTGTCTTTTGAATGCAACTTCCACATTTCTCCACCAGCTCTAGCAATGAGTGATGAACTTGCAGAAAACTCTGGAATGCTGGCAGTGTCAATGAGGAAATCTTCTAGTGTTGTTAGTGAACTTAATTGATTCCCCAAAGATGCTATTGTTTTCTGGCACTCAGCAAGCTTTCCTGCTGCTAGTGCTAGGTCCTCCTGCCATAGAACATGTCACATGCATAATATTAGTTGTGTAAAACATGTAGCACTAATTACTTTTTCTCTTTGTAATTCATTTAGAACATATAGTATAGATGTCAATGATGAGTGATGACCAACCTGCTTTAGTTTTATTTCACTGTATGAGCTGGTTATTGACCCGAATTTCTCTTCCTGCTTCTTTCTTTCTAGCTCATCCTCCAATTCCTTACACCTAGTTGCAATTTCAACTGACATAGCCTTTTCCTTATTAACTTCTGCTTCTAATAAATGAAGTTTTGTTGTTATTGATTGAGCCTCAGCCTGCATGCTCATTAGTTCATTTTCTAACATTTGCTTTGATTTGTAGGCATTCTCTAGCTCTCTTTGCAACTCCTCCAATTTTGTTTCTGCCTCCTTCATTTGAAGCTGTGATGCCTCAATAACACACTCACTTTTCATTAAGCATAGCTTCACTTCATCTTTCTCTGCTTTGGCTTTCTCTAGCTTCTCTTTTATTTCATCCATTTGCCGATTTGTAACATTAAACTTGCCTCTGATGGAGCTCTCTTCATGAATGCATTGATTGTTAGCAACTGATTCCTTGATAAAGCTTTCATTCTTGGTATCAGGCAGTGCTGCAAGTCGTTCCATTTCAAGAAAATCATCCATGAGATCAATGTTAACACAACCAGATGGAGTTTGTTTATGCTTTTCATTCTTGAACTGATCAAGCTCAGCAATTAGTGCATATGCCCATGAGTCAGAACTTAACTCACACATTTCTGGTTCTGAGCCATTCTTCCCGCAGATATCAATATCCATTGCACTAGTCATGTCTCCACTGTCTGATTGACCATCTTTGAGAGATTCAACACAAAATGAGGATGATGTAATGGAATCTCTACAAGCCATGCTTTTCAGTCTCCGGCACTCAGCCTCAAGCTTGGCCACTTTATTGATGCTTTCTAAATGTTGCTTGCTAGCCATCTCAGCTGTTTGGGTGCTTAAATCCCTTTCTATTGTCCTAATTTCCAGCTTTTCAGATTGAGCTTGGAGCTCGTGTTCGAGTGCCATGTTCTCTTTCTCCAAATATTCAACCTTCTGGCGCATATCAGAATCAGTTGATGAAGGAGAACTAGCATTAGAAGCATTTGATTTTCTCTGGAGCTCCTTGAGCTGGTTCTCGAGTTTAGTTTTGGCTGATTCCAGCTCATGTGTTTTCTTTAATACAGAATCATGAATATTTTGCTCCTGTTCTTCTTTTGTTTGTCTTAGCTGCCTAACACACTCCTTAAGTGCACTGTCTAGATGTGTGACACGATCTTCCAGTGTTGAATTTCTTAGAGTTAGTGCCTCAACTTGCTTCTTTAAATCTGTCACTTCATTTTCAGCCTTTTCCCATCCTATAAGTTTATGGATATTATCCAATTAAGAGACAATCTAAAAGTGGAACAGAGAGAAAGAGAAGAAAAATAATATATACTCACGAATAAGTATTCACACAGGTTACAAATAAGCTACTGAAATCAAAATACTATTGACATAACTCATGCAATTTCTCTTAAAATTTCTGTAAAAACTCACCAATCCCACTTTTTGATGTGAAATTATTTAATAGTTTGATTGTTCAACGATCAACAGTCAGATGAATTTGTTTAGACACAAGTTTCACAACACCGAGCATATTTAACGAAGGATAACTTGTGGTTTTATTGCAAAGTCTAGAAACTAGAAAGGTATAGTGGAACAGGAAATATGCAATGATCAATGAAAACATATGCACCTGCAATAGCTTCTTCAGCGACTTTCGCATGTTGCTTGACCAAATCTTCTTTGGCACTTACATTCACAAGCGCTGCAGATAACTTTTCTGACAAGTTCCCCAATCCATCAGTTACATCTCCATCCTTTATTATATTATCCTTTGCTCCATCTTCATCTTCCTCCAATGAACCATTTATGTTTTCTGTTATGTGTGAGGTGACTTCAGGTGATTGTGCATGGATACAGGACATATCATTAATATCTTCAGCTCTGGCCACAGATTTTGAGGTGACATCCGGTGATTGATTATGTCCAATAGGAGATTCATTCAGTGCCTCGTGCTGCAGATACAAGAAAAACTAGACTTAGCATAAACTAGAAGAAGAAACTAACAGGATACAAGATCAACTTCCTGGTGAAGAACGGCTTAAAAGAGATTATACTTATGATTGAAGTGAAGTTGGTTATAATATATACATCTTTGAATCTACTGAACATACATTCATCCAAGTCTTGACCTCCTTACAAGAAAAGAAAATTGTAAATCCTAATTGCAGATGTAGGTGAGAATTATTACATCCAACAAGACAGACATGAATCTAGTTAGTTAGCCTAGTGAGTCTTGGTTTCCTTTGTTCAAACAATTACTAACATGAAACAATGTTGTCATTTTTCACTCTGGGCACAGTATTTGTAAGCATCATCTTAATCAAGACAGTAACACTCTCTCCAAAAGTCAAGGGAGAAACATCTGATTCTATTGGATGAACTCATTAATTCAAGACAACTCTTCCAGGAGATTTAGTCGTACTACAAAAATCTATAGCACGCGGAGAGAATAACTAATACAATTTATGTGCATATTTATTTCACATTATGATTTTTTTTTTATCAAGTAGGAAAAATTAAAATGATGACAACTGCTCAACAAGGTTGAAACCTATGACCTAGTGACTCTTGTCTCTCACATCATGACATTTAATGACAGAAGGGAGAGGAAAAAAAAATCTAGTGAAGGCCATCAAAATATACCAGTAATTGAATGAATAAATTAATCCATTAAGTGAGGAATTATAAGTTTACCATGCACTCATACAGTACAGTATTCAAATTAGAATTTAAAACTTTTGCTTGTTAGATACAAAGTACAAGAATTCAGATTTTTCAATCAGGTATCAAGTCTGAACAAATGTGCCAGGCTTGATATTTCATAATGACAAAAGAATGCTTACCTCTTCATCTGGTTGCTTCTCAGAATGAGTCAATGCTAACCCTGAACTTTCAGTTTCACCAGAAGATTTCCTCTCCCACAACAAACTATTTTTCTCCATCATGCCCTCTAATTACCTGACATTAACTTGAAAAGTGCAGGGAGTTCATCTGCAGACATTACCCAAATGTTCAGAAGCTCGCTCAAAACACACCACAAAATCCAAATCAATATTATAATGAAGAGAACATATAAACAAACTAGTCTAATGTTTCAGCTTGTTCGAGAACAAACACTTCTAATCTACATGCTCTATCCTTGAGAAAGTGGGAAGTCAAACTCAGAAACACATTTATTCTTCAACAATCTCGATTGATACAGAAAAGAAAAAAAAAAAAAAAGATAAAAATACTTGGCTTAACATTTCCATCTGACCAACTTTTATTTGTTAATAAATTCACACAGAGCATGAATAAAGAATGAACCTTAGATTAAACTAGTATACCACATAGATGGAGAAGAAGAAGAAGAATCACAGTTCTCGGAGAATCATTGAGATTCGTATCCCTATTCCCACTCAGGGATGAAACTAAAAATCCAATAGCTTCATAACATTTTTGTTGCAAATTTACAAACAAAGGTAATGAAATATCCTAAAATGAGTGACCCATTTAAGGCATAGAACAGAAAATGCCTCCAACATTCCCATAAATCAAACAAACGGTGCAAAAATCAGTTTTTTATAGCACAACTACCATTCTATGAACTATATAGCAGCAAAGAAAAATGTGGAGGAAAAAAAGATGAAACACCATTCACAGCGTAGATAACCTGCTGAATATCTGGAAACAAAAAAAAAATGGAAATTTGGGAATATAGAATAGAATGGAAAGCAAAGACGAGCAAAATACAAAATAGAAATAGTAGTAAAACAAATGTGTAGAACGAGAAATAGTAGCCACATACATAATCATAATAACTGCTTCTGCTACTGACAAACAAAACATGGGAGTTTCTATATTTTGTTTTTTGGGTTGCCCTTTTCTTTTCTCTTGAAATAAAAAATTAGAGGGGCATGTGACTTTAAATGTCCAGTTGTGAAATTCAAGGCACGAATGGATGGCATTTTTAAGCTTTCGAGAACAATTTTTAATTTAATTTCATATTTGATAGTGTAGTTTGAAATGAGCTTCTTTTATTCCCGCCATGTCTTTGTGTAAGGCCGACATAAATGCAGGTCACTGTCCAGTTTCCTTCTTAATCTGTCTACTCTACTCTCTAACATTACATGCTCTGCTTTATTTTTCGTTTGAAATTTCATGTATGGCGCCAGAGGCTATGTGCCAAAAAGTTTCTATATACAAAATTTCATGGTTTCATGGGCAAGCAAATACCTGTAATACGTAGATACAAAATTTCACTGTAGCCTGTAGGAGATCTATATCTCATATGGAATAACAATTTACTTTCCATTTAAATAATTTTTTTTTCATCAATAGTTAATAATATTAATATTGATATATTACATAAATAACGAGAATAACCAATTTTGTCCCATATATTATTTTGTCACATATATTAGTTTCACTCCACATATTCAAATTCACACAAATGTTAATATAAGAAAAATTAAATTCCATCTATTTAAACAACGTAATAGAAGAAAAAAAATGTGATTAAAAGAAATTATATTATTAAAGATGATCAACAATTTTTTTAGTAAAGAATAGTTATTGATAAATAAAAAATTGTGAATATTGTACTAATAATATAATTAGAAAAAAAAAATCATATAAAAGATCTTAACAACATTTTGGATTGAATAAGAATAAGAATAAAGATAAATTCTGCCAAAGAAGTCGAATAAAAATAAATTGAGTAAAAAAGGAATAAAAATAAAATTTTTCACGTTTTGTCTCATTCACATTTTTGTTATAAATAATTAAGGCTAAAAATCTATTTTAGTCCCTTATAATAATTATTTTTTTCAATTTAGTCCCACTTTTATTTTTTGTCTCAATTTGGTCTCTAATAAATTAATTGGTTGCAATGTCGGACTTCCATCCAAATTATTTAGACGGAGTTAACTGTTGGCCAAGTAGATACTACGTGGATGCCACGTGGAAGTCACGTGGATGTCAAATTTTTGTCATGCATCTAGAACTGGAACGGCCAGTTCTGAAACTGGAACTACTCATTCTGGTTTCACTCGTCGTGCGTTAATTTTGCATCCGGAACGGCCCGTTCTGGATGCAAAATTAACGTAGGAAAAGTGAAACCAGAACGGGCCGTTCCAGTTTCAGAACGGCTCGTTCTAGCTCCAGAATGTCCATGATTATATCCATAAATTTTATATCGTAATGACAATACTTATTCATATATTTATAATATTAAAAAATTTATATATAATTTTTTAAAGTATAAATATATGTTATAATTATTTTTTACAAGTTTTTATATATACAATTATGATTAAGGATGAAAATAAACTAAGTCAGATTATGTTATATTATAATTTAACAGATTTAAACCTAATTTTTGTTAAAAATACATGTTATAAATATTATATATTTATCTATCATAGACATTTTTTAAAATGTTTGGTTACATAACAATTTAAAAACTTACTTAATAATAATTTAACACTAATAAAAACATATAAATAAATATGTTAAATCTTATAAAAATTAATGAATAACTCCTCGAAATTTATATTTTATACATACGATTATATATATATATATATATATTTGTGTATGTGTAAATGGTTTGCTTTCGATTTTTGAACTACACTGGTGCACTATGTTGGTTGGCGTTCTGGAACGGCCCGTTCTGAATCCAGAACGGCCCGTTTTGGATTCCAGAACGGCCTGTTTTGGTCTCAGAACGTCTCGTTCTGCTGCACGCGTTGGGGTTAAATAATGCATCTGAAACGGTGCGTTCCAGATGCAAAATTTACACACCATGAGTGCAACCGGAACGACATGACAAAATTTGACGTCCACGTGGCATGTACGTAGCTTCCACGTGACATCTACGTAATTTCCACGTGGCATCCACGTGACCAATAGTTAACTTCGTCTAAATAATTTGGACGGAAGTCCGACATTGCAACCAATTAATTTATTAGGGACTAAATTGAGACAAAAAATAAAAGTGGAACTAAATTGAAACAAACAATTATTATAATGGACTAAAATATTATTTTAGCCAATAATTAAATATTACTAGAAGTGATGGAGGCACTTTGTGCCTTTTAATTTTTTTAAAAAATTAAAAATAAAAGAACAAAAAAATAATGAAGTAGGTAATGAGTAACTATTGGGAGAGTGGAGGGATTTCTAATCCCTTAGAGATTTTAGAGCATCTGCAATGGGGTTGCTTATAAGCAATCTCATATGCCACATCACTGCTACATCAGCTCTGACTCAGGTTGCTTAAATTTTAGCAAAGTTGCCAACTTTGCTAAAATTTAAGCAACCCATAAAATGAGCTAGAGCTGATTTGGCAGTGATGTGACACAAGGAGTTGCTTATAAGCAACCCCCATTGGAGATGCTCGAGAAGAAATAATGTAATGAGTAATTATTGAAAGAGTATGAGAATATTGTTGATTGTGTGAGAAAAAATATTAAAAATTTTTATTTTTATTTTTTTAAAAATAATTAAAGGGTGTAACAATCCTCCAATTGAAAGTAAAGACAAAAAATAGTTATAAAGATATATTGTTATATATTACATTATAAATATTGTATTATTTTTGTTTACTGTTGTTTGATATATTATATTAAAAATTAGAATATTATTTTATAAGGATCAATCAAACTTTTTAATTTTGTTATGACTAAATTTTATTTTATTTTAATTATGAAGACTAAATTCAAACTTTAATTCTTATAACGTCTACTTAAAAATAAATAAATAAATAAATAGGGACGAATAAGATAGTGAAGCATGCATGTGAGAACAGCAAACAGTGATTTCAAACCCATGGGCATTATTATGTGTTTTACACGTTTCATCTTGGTGATAAATAAAATTCAAATGATCCTAATATTTTTATTTTTTTTGCTATTGCTCAACTTGCAATAAATCTATAGCCTAAATAAGTGCACATGTAGTACTGTTGTTTCCGAGGCTTTCTATGGTGAAGAATTGCTTCAAGTGTTTTATCCATCAACCATAAAAAATATTTTTTAAATTTGTATTTTAGTTTTTAAAAAAAAAATGATGATGACCTAACCTTTATACCCTTATCCCTTATCCACCAAAGAACAAAGAACAAAGAAAAAGAAGCAGAGGTACTATGCTAATTGTTTAGACTTTAGAGTCTTGTTGCTCATGTGATTACCGAAGCTACTCTCTTCCTAATGATAATGTTGGGTTGTTGGGTTGTTGGGCTTTTACTCAAATGCCGTAATTTTTTATCAAAATTTCTGAAATAGATAAATTTTCAAATTTTTTCAAAGACTCATACATTGTCGGTGTAAATTTTTTTATACGAATAATTAATCATAATTTTTAAATTATTTTATTTTATTTTTATTTCATTAAATAAACAAGTAACATAATGTAACGACCTGGCTGGTCACTACACACGGCACAGCACACCGGAAACATCAGACAAAAAAGAACAAGTATATAAATATAGGATCTAGAATATATATATATATATACAAGGTCCCAATCCGGCTAGAGTTAGAGTGTACAAAGCAAAAATACATTCAGAAAATGCTAACTAAGTAGCTAACTACATCAAAAGAATAAAACTTCATCTGCCAGCTGCAGACCCTCCTCAGCAAAACACCAACCTAACCCTGCCCTGCTCCCATACATAGTATGATCATTGCAGTCCAAACCACATGGAAACAACAAAGGGTAAGCTAGTAAAAAGAATCAGCATACATGTGAAAAATATGAATGATAAGCAACTACAGCTATCAGCACATCAGTCAGCTAAACAACATCAGCTTAAAATATCACAGCATTCAGCAATAACAGCACTGACATAACGGCTATAACAGCACCACATTAGTGGCTAATAACAGCACCGACATAGCGACTATAACAGCACCACAATAGTGGCTATAACAGCACCGACATAGCGGCTATAACAGCACCACAATAGTGGCTATAACAGCATATAGTTCAACACAACACAACAATATCATCAAATACAACTTAAATCAACATACAGCACGGCTCAGCTTAACATCTAAACACAGCTCACAGCACAGCTTAAACATCCTTATTCAGCAATAACATCTAACAGCACGACATATTCATCAATTTCAGCTCATACTCAACATACAACAACATCTAACAGCATATAGTGAAATTTCATCTCCGCGCCCGACGCATTCATGGTTGTGCCCAGCGCGGTACAACCAGAGAGCACCAGGGGGCCAGCGCGCCCAACGCAAGCGTGCCCGGCGTGACCTAGCCAGAGAGCCCAAAGCTCACACGCGCCTAGCGCAATTCCAATTGTGCCTAGTGCACCCAGGCAGAGACTCTAAGGAGTCTCACGCGCCCGGCGTGCCCAAACCCGCGCCCAACGCGGGGAAGGCAGAGACCTCCCAAGGTCTCGCGCCCAACGCAATTCAAATTGTGCTCAGCGCCCCCATGGCAGAGACTCCCAAGGAGTATCCACGCCCAACGCAACAAGGGTCGCGCTCAGCGCAGAACCAAAACCCCCAAAACATGTCACAACTGGTATCGCGCCCAGCGCGGTCCAAGTCACGCCCAGCATGGGCCAGCCAGAGACCCACATTCTCAAGCGCGCCTAGCGCACTCATCATTGCGCCCGGCGGGCTTGCCCAAATGGAGTCCCCTAGTGGTCACGCGCCCAGCGCGAAGAACGGCGCTCGGCGTGAAGCTCAGCAGCAACTCACAAAGTTCGAAAATTTTCACCCAACCCTGCAAAAACAACCAGAAAACC